GTAGGTAGGTAGGTAGGTAGGTAGGTAGGTAGGTAGGTAGGTAGGTAGGTAGGTAGGTAGGTAGGTAGGTAGGTAGGTAGGTAGGTACAAACATACTTGGCAGAGTTGTCACGGTGGTTATATTTTTATCACCGCCAATGCTAAAAATAGAAGAAGAAGAAGGGTTTAGTTTGTGTTATATGAGGCGAAAAACAACAAACCTCGAGTTGTTTCTCAAAACTGTCAAAATCCAAACCTCTTACCTCCATGACAGTCCTCTGTATTCATTAATCACTAACAGGAGGTTATCATACTGTGCACCCACACCGTTGGCGGCCTGTAAAAATACATGACATGTGTGACAGCACGGTTAAAGCCAGTAGAGATAAGAAAGTTATCACTCAAACCTCTATAAAGCAAATAGCCAGATTATAATGCAGCATTAGGACACAGCAAATGTGTAAATAAAGTAGCTTATCTCCACACAGTAAGAAACAGAACTAGGTCTCCACATCTGTGTTTACTTTGACTGAATTCTTTGTCTTCTGTATTTATGTCGATTAAACTACACATGGCTTTGAAGATAAATCTGACCAAATCCAAAAACACAAGAAGAAGAAATAAAAAAACTGTTTACTGTCAGAGAGTCTCCCACAGCTGCCACCACCTTGATATCTCCAGGTCTGAGCTCATGAACTACACCGGAGAAAACAAAACAAAACAAAACACAGCTTTGTTTAGAAGATTTGGTTAAAATAAACTTTAGTGGAGATGATAAATACAATACCTGATGTGGGCGGGGTCGGAGATGGACCACGGTCTTCACAAGGCACCTCKGTACCCATTGTCTGAAAACATACAGTAAGAACTAAAAATCCTAAAACGGAAACCTAATTAATGAACAACCTGGTTGTGAAAATGTGGAATAAAAACTTTTACAAGGTCTGCTGGTGCAGAAGCTTTCCTGTAAACCTCCTGCTCGCTTTCAGTGGGAGAGTTTATCTGTGTTCGCAGAAACGGGTGCTCCTGCAAAGAGAAAGACAGATGGAGGGGTTCAACAAATATGGACAATTATTCTATAACACCGGGGAGAACTTGTGAGTGACTCACCTGTGTGGGACAGGGAATAGTGATGACATCGTTGTTTGTGACCTCAGCTTGGCCTGCTGCCGGTTGGAGCTGAGGGATGTGACGTTTTGCAAGTTAAGCTTTTGGGAGACTTTAATCTGACAAGATCTTTTACATCTCATATCTAATCTGAGGCAAACGGTTATCACTGTTCATATGTCTTTTGATGTGAGTGTAAATGCAAACACTGTTCYTTTTATCTGTCATCTGCATCTTTCGTTTATAAGAACTTACCAGATTTGCCCACAGCTGAACAGCCAGCTTGTTAAGATCAGRCACCTTTGAGGAAACACACAACATATAGAAGTTACACATTAGCTAATATGTTTCGTGAATTATTACTCGAAAGGCAGGACTTATATGTTCCAACTGATAATATCATAGATAACAACAGACCTTCAAGGTTCCGTTTCTCTTTACTTACAGCATCCGGGCTGGATTCTACGATAACTGGAGAAGACTGCAGAACAACAGTGAAGTCGACGTCTTTGTGGTACCAAGCAGAACTTTCCAAAAGATGGCCTAAAGAGTCCTGAAAACAGGAGCAGAATCATCCAAAGTGCAATAAAAAGAATCTCTGAAAGCTGTAAACTACACTAAATCTACCATACTCTACCTGCAGTGACTTCAGCAGAGTGGCCCTTTGCAGGCCTTGGCTTATGCCTTTATCTCTCACACATTCACATGCGCTGGAAAAAAAAGAAGCAAACGTGAAACTTAAATTCACCTGAACAAATGAAAAGCTAATAAAACGACAGGCTGCATCAAAATAAAAGCCTGTTTCACTCACTTTTCTTCCTGATAATATCCACTCCAGACCACAACATGAACTAAAGTGTGATACATCTGTAAAGACATACCCAGCAAATTAGTATTGCTATTATTATTCTTATTATTCTTATCATTGTTCTTATTCTTATTCTTTGCTGTTACTGTAAGTGTGCTCATGGCAAAAAAAAAAAGCACTTGACAGTAACATTTATACCCGATTCTGCAGAATTTGTAGAGCTGTATCCACTTCCTGCACTGCAGTTTTGACATTTGCAGCGGCCTGTAAAAAAAATGTAACAAAACATCAGCAAGATCATTTATGAACCCATCGTTAAAGCACGCATTATTACTTTTAGACATGAAATAAAGACTCTTACATGTGGTGAACAGGCACACATTAGATCTATAGGGACAAACAGCAGCACGATCTTCCAGTCAGTCATCTGACATGAGGACAGCAGGAAAAAGTTGTTTGCATGTTCAAAATGTGAAAGTTTAACTGTAAGTTCAATRTGTTACATTAACAGAGAATTTATACAAATCAAACCCAACTAAACATGGTTAAAAACATCTGAAAGCCTGTACAGATATAAATATTTACTGTACCTGATGAGAAACAGAGAGCTCCTCTGCTTCCTGTATTAAGCTCCTGTAAGACATTAATCTCACATATAAGAAATGATGACTTGAAATGTTACTTCAGTTACAAACTTGTCTTAAAGATGTAAAAATGTGGATGACTCTTAATTTTGATTGTGGTTTTGGGATAGGAACAATCTTTGCAGCCTTTCATTTCCTGTCATTGCCATGGCAACATTTCAGAATGGACAGACTATAATAGGATTCAAACTTGTTTTGGAGTTGGATTTATAATTTGAACTTTTGTTTGTTTTTGTACTATGACCTGAGATGACTTTTTGTTATGAACTAGTGCTATATAAACAAAATGTTCCCATAAAGACAGTAAATATTGTGTGTTACCTGGGCTGTAATGAGATCTGATCCACGTGTTGAACGTTAACCTCCGGATTAAACATGGACAGCAGCTCTGTTCAAACAAAGTTACTGCTTTTGTGAATGGCAGAGCTGGTAAACGCTCTTTCAATCATGCAGGTAGTTACAGCTATTGTTATGTTGCAGGAAGGTCGGAGGAGCATTTATGACCGGCTATCTTAGCCTTACAGATAAGCTGGAGCAAAACTGCTTATTATAGATGTCACAGCAGTCCTATAGAGCGCATTACTCTGGTGTTTTCTGCAATACAGTCTGAACTTTCTGCAACACATTTTCAAACACTTAATTCCTAAACATGAATTACTTGATTAATTACATGGTTTAATCAAAATCCACTCAGAGTTTATGAAGGAAATGGAGAATCGTTGAATCTTGTGAATCATTAATCCAAAACAACTGAAGAGGCTTATGGTGAAAAATAAATAAAACTTTAAAAGTTATTAGCATTGGTTGGAAAATTATTTGATTTTTATCATCAGGACACTATTTTAACAACGTTTATATAAAAAGTGAGGCTTGATGTTACCTGCTAGTCTGCTGACAACTCTGGTTGCTTCATTTCTACAAATGAAGAGTCACATTACCAGAAACTGAAATACGCTTTCAACGTTTACTGCATGTAGAGTAAGTATTTAATCTGGAAATGCAAGTTATTTCCTCCTGCGTACCTGTATGAAGGAACTATTCCCAGCACATAAAGTCCTGTGACATCAGCAGGTGTAAGTTTGTGAACCGATGCTGATAAAAACAAACAAGTAAAACAAAAGTTTTAACAGTCAGATTCATCACCAGACAACAGCAGGATGGACAGTGATGATGTCTAAATAAAATAACCCCTCAGTTTCACAACAGTCTAACACATGGACGAGGGTAACATTCTTTACCTGGGGAGGATGAGTGCGAAAGGGGAGGCATCGGTGGGCAAAGCGTGGACATGTAACTCTTCGTCTGTAGTGCACACAAAAAACTGTTACTAGCAAAACAAAATCCTCAACATTTAGAAAACAAATGTGAAATCATTTCAATAATCATCAGTACCATTTTAGATTTGTCCGTTGCAAATACGCCATGGTCTATAGCTGAGAAAAAAGCAAAAGAAATACAATATTTGCACAAACTTGCAGCGTAAGTTATCATGAAAAAGCTAACAGAAAACAAAAAAAGAGTTTAAAACATTCTATTGTTCCTTTTCTTACAATTACTTCATTTAATCAAACCAAACGTTTCTATTGTCTTTCTATACTGGACAAATCTGGACATTTTGTTCTAACACACTGTAAACTTGCTCTGAACWGCACATCAGTAAAAGTCAGGTATCATATAACACTGGTGACAGGTTAAATTCTTCAATACACTGATAAAGTAGCAGCCACTGTATAAGTGATAGTGGAGCCAAATGGTTCTTTGAGTGCTACCTCGTATCAGCAAACAGTGTGGAGAGAAAAAAAAACACACAAAAAGACTTTGAACAACAGCAGGTTGGCTATTTAGTTACTAGATTCCTCTGATTTCATCACGCGGCTGTGCAAACTTCTGTGTTTACATAAATCAGTGTACTAACTCAATTTGTGGGACCATCAGTTTGTATTTACCTGATAATGTAACACAGAGTCCAAGGAGGGATGCCAGAACCAGGAGGGCAGATCTWGCCATGATGCAGCGAGGTGTAGAGTGTCTTCCACACTGAGAGCCTTAAGTATCTGCCTGCTCTTTTTTTTTTTCCCTCCTCACATTCAATTGGGGCTATAAAAGTGCACTGTGAAAGAAACAGTGTGGAGAATGCAAAAAGCTAGGAGTAAAGAGTAAACTGTTGCAGAAAAGGAGGAAAACATTAGATAAGAAAGAATGTACACTTTTTTATGAGTTTTATACTTCTTGAGTAACAATCAACAAAGAAGACAGTCATGACACGCTCTCTTAAGTTTCTTTTTTACRCTTATACAAGCAGTTATCCTCATATCTTAATACAAAGTTAACTGACTCCTTTTGAAGTCGGTGAGTTGTTACGATGTATTTATGACCATGACACTTAATAAGTTAAGTTGTGTTACATAAGCCTTTAGAAACAGACTAGGTACTTTTTTTTGTATCTTTTCTCCCCGACAATACCAAGTCAGAAACTTACACTTTAAAAAATTCTAGCTAAAATAAAGAAATTCCTAAGTATATCTTCAAACAAGATATACTAATTGCCCATTGCTTTTTATGCAATGAGTTTTGAACTAAGATCATTGAGAAATGACAACAGTAACATTTTGCAAAATTTCATACATCACATGATGTCATATGAGTATGTGCTGTGGAACTCTCAGCTACAACCACATCAAGTTTTATCTCCATTTCTGCAGTGTTGTCATGTTTGGTAATGGTTTCTGTAAACTCTGTTCAATGGTTCCTGATTTTTTTTTTTAATGAAAATGAACACACGTGTGCACACACACTCATAAACAGTTGCCAACACATTATCAATCATTTTTATAGCAGGTGCTAATAAAATATTGTATAACTCTCACTGAGATGTTCACATAAACAAAAATACAAAAAAACAATCGGGACCTCCTCCATCTTTTAAAGGAGCAAAACATAGTATCCAGAGTGTTTTTTTAATACAGTAAATGTTTAAGTTTCTACTGTGTAAGTAAACTTATTAGTTGGGTGTAAAATCTTAACTTCATTTTAAAAATCAGCTTTTTAGGAGTGTTCTTTAGATTTTAAGAAAGATATTTTATGCTGAATATTTACAAATTTCTAAAAACAAATCTATGAAAGAAATGTTATGTTTGTYTTTATATGAAGAAACTATTTCACCGTGGTTAGGTTATATAATCTTACATGTCAACAACCGGCAATTCAGTAAAATTAGACAGGTTTTATTATCTTTGGAGATGATGGGAGATATGATTAGATTGCTATAAACTTTACAAGTCTGGCCWTAGATCAACTTTATAGATTGTCTGACCCTTGGATTCACTAATCAGATTTTGATCACGGAACAAATTTGTTTCCCACATGCTGTGTGTCATGGCGTGTTACATAAATTGTAAATAGAACAAATGTGACAAAAACCTGCACCACTTGTTCTGCTGGATTTTCTCATTTTTAGACAACTATGTTCATTACATTTTGCTAAGCAACCCATTGATGGTCACTTTATTTTCATTTTTGTCAGCACATGCTAATTTCAACTGAACTGAACAGTCCTAAGAGCAAAGGAGTGCTCCTATTATCATCAAAAGTTAGGATGTCACACCACTCTTTAACAAAGTGTGCAGGTACAGCAGGGGCGGAGCCAGAGGGGTGGCCTGGGTGGAACTTGCCACCCTCTTGGACCCGATTGGCCACCCCCAGGTGTCACCCCAGCTGATTGTCAAATTAAAGGATAGTAAAGATAGTTTMATTAAATATAAAAATTTGACCTATTATTCAAAATTTGACACATCGTTATTGGTTTGAGCATTCTTTTTGTAAAAACTTAAAGTGTATCTTACCCCCCACCCCCACCCCCGTGAAAGATAACTCCGCCCCAAGGCGAAATTTGAAAAAACTGCATCAAAGTGGGTAGGGGAGGGGGTGTGGCTAGGGGAGGGGGGAGGTTAGAGAGCGGAGGTGTGGCCAGGACGAGAGAACGTGACAGACAGCTAGCATTAGCATAATTGATGCTACATGGAAAGTGACCACAGTATCACAGATAGTTACATCTCTGAACGTCTGAGGTGGAGGATTTTC